AACCTAAAGATGATATTAGCTGTAATTGTAATATTAAGATACAGTGTTGTATGTAATAGATTGCAATTTATCTACATTAAAAAGTAAAAGTTATAATACTGTAATTAGGTCTTAATGCCATAACTAATCTGTAATACCGTAATTCTAAAATTAAGTATGTAATTTTGGCCAGAATTATACACTTAATTTTAGCAGAAATTAACTAATATCCTAAAAAGGAAAGTAATATTACATAAAATTCCAGTATGTTATTATCAAAAAAAGGAAAGATCTGTATTTCTGTTTTAGCTGAAATTATGATTTTCAGCTAAAATTATATATTTAAATTTGGATTTCAGATTTTAGATTTTAAGAAACATGTAACTTGTAATTTCAATTTTAAGGGATAAATAATATAAAAAAAAATAATAAAAAATTTTTTTTTGTAAAAAAGTTTATATGTAAATTATGCATAAAATTATTTAATTATTAAAGATATTATGCTAATTTAATATAAATTTTTTGAAAAAAATTTAAAATTTTCTACCTTCTATTCCTGACCATCCACCATAGGGATTTTAGTTTATTATATAATTTTTTTCTTTACACAAACACATACAAAATGCAAAAAAAAATATGATGCGTTTTATGTACTCCTAAAAATTAAAATTACATGACATATAAACTATATATTGTAATTTTATTACTTTTATTTTAAATTTTTATGCTATTAAAAATTACAACATTACAGTTTAATTATACCATTACAATCTAATTATAGTATTACGACCTAATTACAGTATTACAGCCTAATTACAGTATTACGAAAAGTGTCATAACTGTAATACTGTATGCTATAATATTATGGCATCAACTAATCAATTACGGCTAACATTTTTAATCTAATCATTACCATTCATGTGACTATTACGTTCACATTATTTATATTTATCTTAGTAACAGAATTTTTTTATAATCTGATTTCTATTTGTTACTTATATAATATATCACCTGTATTATCATAAATATATAGTTGAAAGTGATGTAGTAAGATGATAACTATTCCAACAGTATCCAGAAAAATTCTTCGATCATGTGATAATTTGCCAATCATTTCCTAAAATATCACTAAAAATATTTTTTTTAAATATCATAATTTTACATGCTCTATAAGTTTTTTTTTTTTAACTGCAATGCATTTAATAGTAGTTTATTAAATACAAATTAAAGCTAATTACAAATGTATAAAACTCTAAATAACGATCTAATATAATTAACTACCAAACCACTCGTCATGCTTTAAAGCACTTCACGTGTATACCATTACTAGATAATAACTTTTGCTCAAAGAGTAAGAAATATTTATAACATCCTATTTTAGCGTAAATACTCCTCTTTCTTTACAAGGTAATCACAGGACCTATTACATCATGATTAGCCAAAAAAGAAAATTATATTTAGCATATTCTTGTAAAATAAATGAAATAAACCATCAGATCGTCCCTTTTTAGTAAATCCAACTAGAACTGGTGTTGGGTAATTTAATCTAATCAGATTGTAGAATTCCATGAGCACAGCATAATACATCAAAACCAACCAGTTGTAGAAAGAAGAGTCTGTATGCTTACTGGTAGTCTCTAGTAAAAGACAAAGAAGGTTTCATTTACATAAAGGAGTTTGTAAGTTGTAATCAAGTACTATGATATTTACTATCAGATGTTTAGATGTACAACTAAAATAACTAAATACTAGCAGTTGCCAAAACCTAATAACAAAATCTAAATACCAATTATAAGCTCTATCAGGTAATCAGGACCCTGTTTACTATTAATATAAGTCATCCTGTAGTCTAAGGTAAGGTTTATATATAAAACTCTTTAAAGATCCTATTATAAAAGGAAATTTTATGTTACATTGTTATGATTTTTTTCCTTTTTAGACAATTAATCAATAGAATTTAAGCAAATTCTAAGGTAAGGTTTTATATGAAAGTGAAATTTCTATCGGTAATATATCTTAGTAATAGGTAGAATTCTACTCTATCCATATAATTTATAATTAAAAATTTAAAAACTAATTTAAAAACTAATTTAAAGAAAATAGCAAAAACAAAAAAAAGTAAAAAGAAAAAATCTATAATTCTATCTATAAAAAGGTTTGGTAATATTCTGCAGTCTGAGGGTGAAGTCAATTTATCTCTGTCCTTGAAGGCCCTTAGTGAATATGGGTTGAAATGTATGAGGCCAAATTGTAATATCGTCTGTTGTTTAAAAAAAACAGTAATATGCATTTCCACAGGAAAAACATAATGTACAGCTTGTTAAATATCCATTAGTTCTAATAAAATTTCCAAATCTGATGTCGCTTAATAAATGTTATCTAATATAGAAGGATTCTTCCGTATTTATAATCATTTGTAGTTGAATAAAGAGGTTTCAAAACGTATTCAAAAAGGCATCCAATAGGAGTAAAAAACACGTCTAAATTGTTTATTTGATAATTTTCTTGTGAGTTTGATATGTTCCTTTTTCAGAAAGGGGTTTGAAAAGGAGAAAAAAATTGTGTTTTTTGTAGGTGCAAAGAGAGCTAGTCAATAAAGTTCCAGAGTGTCACTTAAGATCTTGTAAAGATATCATCTGTAAGATTTCTGTAGGTGCAGGCAGCTTTTTCATATTTCTCTTGAGCTTTATTATCCAAGATTTTAAAGTAGGTAGGGCTACTGTCGTAAAAGTATTCAGTTTCATATATTGTATGAACTTTTTGTCCAAGAAGAGTTCGTTAGGAGTTCATCTTTCTATATTGCTTCCATTCGTATAAGTTCACTTAATAATATTGAGGTATCCACATATTTAAGATGGTGTTTTTATCTTGTTTTGCTGGATGATACGCTAAAATGAATAAAGTCCAAAAAGTACAAGATAAAAACACGTAAAAAAATAAGGGAAAAGGAAAATAAACTATACTAAAAACTCATAAGAGTTATTTTTATCAAGTTAAACTTGAAGTATAAGTGTATTTAAACGAAGTTAAAATAAGCAAAAGTAAAAAAAATAAAAAAATTATTATGTTTTTTGTTTATAGAAAAATGGTCATGAACAGTAGCGAAAAGAGTTTTCATATTTTATAAGTTTACTTAGAATAACCTTTAGTTTTTTATAGTAAATTTTAAAGTTGTATAAAATAGTGTTGCTGCTCAAAACTCATTTAACGATAAAATTCAAAAATTCAAAACTCAAAAATCTTATTTTTAATAAAAAAATTGGTAAATCTGAAACTTTTCTAAATTATAATTAGTTTCAGAAAAGCATAAAAACAGTTTTAACAATTAAATTTATTATAAAAAATAGTTTCAGATTAAATTTTAACTAAATTAAAATTTTGAAAAAATAATTTTGATAAACATCCTTAATATAAAATATATATTAAGTTTTATTTGAAAAATAAAAAAATATTTTTTATTGCCAAAATTAATCAGCTATTTTAGAAAATAATCAGCAAAAATTGTTACATAATTGAAAAATTTTTCTAAATGCTATTAATGTAGTTGTAAAATGATCTTAAAATATAACAGATTTTATCCAATCAAATTTGAGATTTAGAATAAGCATCTGGACTATAAGGATTGACTAATCAGATGAATAGGATTATAGATTATATTATTTATGACTTTAATATACTTAATTAGTACTGTAAATGTGACTTTTATTATAATTATTTAGGGTTCTTTTTTCATACTATTGCTTTGTTCTGGTTATTTTTTTAATTTGATAAATTAATAGGACCTTACTTACTTATAAGATAGGTTACCAAAAATCTAAGATAAAATTTATAATTGAGAATTTTTGAAAATTTTACTATATATAAATAAATTACACTTAAAAAAAGAAATATTACACTAAGTTGTTATGATTTTTTTTTTTTTTAGATCAATTAACTAATAGAATCGCTAGTAAAATTACTAGTAAATTTAAAATTTTTCCCAAAGACTTCTATTAGGAGTAAGCAAGGTTTTAAATCAATTCCTTTTAAAGTTTTAATGCATAAAGTTTAATTCATTTTTATAAAATTAAAATCTAATTATAGTATCAGATTTTATTTATATATATTATATTATAACTACTTTGAAGTATTGGGTAAAGCCATAAATGCTCAGGTAAATTATACTAATTGTTTTTTTGGCAGTTTAATTTATGAAAATTATACTATAAAAGTATTATGGCAAAAAAAAATGTATTGCCAAAATTAACCTTAAACTGAAATTTCCAATAATTTGATAATTACCAATTATTTGCCAATCATTTGCTAACCTGATTTTGAAGCAAACTTTAGGTGAAACCACTGCAAAACCACAGATTTATGGATAAAACTTAAAATTTTCAAAATATATTATTTAGATATTCAAGAATCAATGGCTAAAATAAACTAGCAAAATTTAGATAAATCAAAAGTTATTATTAAGAGAATATTTATGAATATTATTAAAATATATATTAAAAAAAGATTTTTTTTTTGTTTTATTTATTTAAACAACAAATTTGATCATTAAAAATTATATTGTTTATTTTTTATAAATAGTCTTTAAAATTTTATAAAGAAATACTCATAAAAATATCATCTTACTAAAAGATAATAAAATACCTTTAGTTGAAGAAGAAACAATTGATAGTTTAGATGAAAATAATGATGAGAATATGCAAAGTATTTTAGAAAGATTAGAATAAAATATAGATAATCAATTTGAAATTTTATATCTAATGCATTTTTATTAAAAATTAAAGTTACTACTAATAAAATTTATTCAATAATGATGCAATTCTAATAAAATTTAACTTGCAGTAAATCCAAACTAATATTAAGCTGTCTGTAAAATTTGAGTACATATTATTATGTAGAATTATTCAATCAATTTAATTATAGTGAAGTGATAAAATTGAATAAATGGTCGACAAATGATCGTCAAAATTGTGATAAAATAGGGATGTCCGCTATGCTGACTCCGCCAGAATTAACAAGTCACGTGAGGTTAAAAGGATATTTTATAAAATCATTTTGGGTAATAACAAAAAAAAACACACCATGAATTTTTTAAAAGCAGAAATCGAAAATAAGCGTAAATTCCTTGAAAATATACATTCAGAAGAACAAGAACAAAAGAAAAAGAAATATGTTCGCCGATCAGATGTAGAGAAGAAAAGAGAACAGCAATATTTAGCCGAACAAGCGGAAATAGAAAAAAAACGTGAGGTGCTTAAAGTAATGTTTTGTAATTGATTTTTGTTCTTATCAATTAATTAGGAATGCTTTACTAAATTTAGGAAAGAAAAAGACAAAAGAATAAAACGGTATTTAGTCTGATGGTTAAATTTATTTATTAAATCTATAATACTCGATTTTAATTTTTTTTTTTTTTGAATACTTTCTTGTGTAATCAATAGCTCTTGTTACTTGCAGAACAAGAAAAGGCAGAAAAATCTGCTTCGGATAGTGAAGGTCAGAAGGAAGAGGTATGTCAAGTCATTGTGATTGTTAATAGTATTAATAGTATATATAATAATTATTTTCGATTAGTATGATGGAAGCGATACTTTTAATATTTCACCGGAGGAAGTAGTTCGTCGTTTAAGAGCGAAAGGTCAGCCAATTAGACTTTTCGGTGAATCTGATAAAGATCGTAAAACACGGTTACGTGCTCTTGAACTCATCGAAGAGCGAACAGAGGTAAGTACTCTATTTAATTTCATTATCAGCGAAGCATTTTTTTTTTGTTCTAACTATCAATAATACCTGATATTAAGGGTCAACGTAACGATTTTATGAGGACTTTAGAAGAAATGGATACCAATTTAGATTTAGAGGCGTTGAAAAAGCAACAAGACGAAGAAGAAAGTCGAACTTCCAAGAAAAAGAAGACAACTGAAGATTCTGTTTTGGTATACCTAATTATCATTATTTTTAATTTATCGTTATTAGTGATTACATAGTAACTTATATTTTTAATATTAGGATAATACTCCAATTAGCATTGAACTCCTAGAAAAGGATCCAGACAAACTCTTTGTCCTTATTTATACGTTTTTAAGGGTTTGTTTTTTATATATAATTTGATCAATTAAGTGAATAAGATTAATGATATTTCTTTAACCAGCGTTTAATTCGGGAATGGGAACAAGAAATGAATAATCGTCCGGATCATGTTAAGAGAAGCGTACAAGGTAAACTTTCTGCCGCTACACAAAAACAAACAAACGAGTACATGCAACCTTTCTTCAGAACTCTTAAGAAAAAGGTAGATAAAGAAAGATTATATGTTCCTTGGAGTGATTTAAATTAAGAAATTTAAATTTATTTGTATAGTCAATAGAACCAGATGTACTAGCACGTGTAACAGAAATTACACATTATATGCAGAAACGCGAATATATGAACGCGAACGATGCTTATTTAAGATTATCTATTGGAAATGCGCCTTGGCCTATTGGTATGTCTTAGAATTTTTACAATTTACATTTTATTTCTCAAGATTAATTAAATTATTTTAATTCCCAAAAATAAGGTGTTACTATGGTTGGGTACGTATTTATAAACCAAGATACTGTTCAACAAATAATTCAGATATCTTAATGATGTTTTTTACTTTGTATAGTATCCACGAACGTTCTGCTCGCGAAAAAATTTTCTCTGCCCAGGTCGCTCATGTACTTAACGATGAGACAACGCGTAAATGGATTCAATCAATTAAGAGATTAATGACATTTTGTCAGTCAAAATACCCGCCAGAAGACAATTCACAACTAATGGGTTGAAATCCATACTTCTTTTTAGACATTATAACACAATCCGTTATTACGTAGTTTAGTTGACAGAAATGTAATACTAATAATATAAAACAGATCTATATAGAAATAAAAAATTTAATTACTTTTTTTTTTAAAAAAAAAAAACCCAGTAAAATAATAATAATAAAATGTTAAATAATTCAGAGGATCGGGTCTATTTCTGATTTGCTCCTTTTTCTAGAACTTTTGCTACTCCTAATAAAGTATCATCATCCCCATATTGTGTTATTAATTGTAACCCGATCGGAAATCCGTCAATCGAGGATATACCAAAAGGTATACTAATGGCGGGAATTCCTGATTTTGTAAGTAAAATATCATCTAAATATTAGTTATTGGTTACTTTTTAATAAAAGGAGACATTCTAAGCTTACCAGCTAAACTTGCAGGTACAACAAAAACATCATTTACGTAAGTATTTATAAAATTGTTTACGTTAGTCGTCAAGCAATCCTCAATTTTTGGTGCAGTAGAAATAGTAACTGGAGTTATTAAAACATCGACTTTATTTTCATTGCATCCCGAGTCTTTTTTAGTAAAACGCAACGGATTTGGTCTTTTAAAAACTCGATCAAAATCTGATTTTACCATCCTACGAATTTTTTGTGCTTGAAGAAAGTAATTTCCGTAAGATCTAAAATCATAACGGAAGAATACCATAAACAATTTTACTTATTTAAGGATAAAAGAAAGCTTTATTTACCCTGCAGTTAAAGCATAAGTTCCCAAAATTATACGTTTTTTAACTTCTTTGCCAAACCTTCCTCTTGTATTAGCATATAGCATGCCATCATTTTTATTCGATTCTTCACTTCGATGACCTAGAAAAATTGATGAAAAGGATTACTGCAATCTTTTGGAAAGAATAGGTTATAATCTATATAAATATACCATATCTAACTCCATCAAACCGTGCTAAGTTGGAAGAAGCTTCTGATGGTGCTAATATGTAATAAGCTGATAACGCGTATCTTGTACTTGGACATGAAACTGAGACAATTGTTGCACCATGTGATTTTAGATAAGAAATCCCTTTTTTCCATAAATTAACAATAGATTCACCAAGTTCTGAAACAAAATATTCCTATAGTCATGACATACTATTAAGACATAGATTTAGGATAATAATATAAAATAAATACACAAGTACAATTACTTTGGGAACACCAACGCGCAATCCTCTTAAATCGTCAGCGTTTGAATTTAATTTAAAAAATGATGGTATGGATGAATTTATGGATCGAACTTCTGGAGTTATTGATGTTGAATCATTCACGTCGAATTTTGATATCACGTCTAAAAACGGATGATAATATGTATATAATGATTGAATGTAATCATCTAAAATACAAAAAAAAACTAACCATAAATCATTTGAGCATCACTAACTGTTCTTGTCAGGATGCCAACTGTGTCCAGCGAGTTGGCATATGCAATAAGTCCCCATCGAGAACATTGACCATAAGAAGGTTTAAATCCCACTATGCCACAATATGAAGCAGGAAGGCGAACAGATCCTCCGGTGTCCGATCCTAAAGCACTATAAAAAAAAATTTTTTTTTTTTCAGTACTGAGAAAATAACTTACAAGGACAATAACATCAACTCACGCGAAACACATTCCAGATGCAACTGCCGCTGCACTACCACCTGAACTTCCACCGGCAACACGTTGATCCCCATCATTCTTTTCAAAATGATTTTCATCAAAAAGAATTGATTGAGGATTATACACCGGACCATGTACACTATATACGTTTGCTGCACTTTGAAGATTTGATTGATATTAAAAATAAACGATTGGTATTATACAATTCCTTCTTATATTTACCCCATTCCAAATTCATCCATATTGGTTTTTCCAATCATAATAGCACCCGCTTCTTCAAGAAAATTGATGACAGTAGCATTAAACGGCGATTTAAAATCTAAAAAAAAATAAATGATGTTATCACGTGACTACTGTGCATTAAACTAAAGAAAAAAATTTTTACTTTTTAACATAAAAGATCCACATGTAGTTGATAAGGAAGATGTACAAAATAAATCTTTATATGCAACAGGTATCCCATCTAAAGAACCATTAAATGATCCTACAATATTAAAGGTAAATATAAATAACAGTATCATTGATATCATAAATACAAATATGTTTTTATAAGCTCAACCTTTAGCATCAATTTCTAGAGCCTTATCAAGTAATTTTTTCTCATTTTGCACCTCTATAAACGCGTTTATTTCAGCATCATATTTTGAAATCCGAGAAAAACATTCTTTAACCAAAGATACTGTTGAAATTTTCTTCTGTCTTAGCAAATTTGCAGCCTATATATACGTTATCAATTAGGCAAAACACGTGATTGAAATTATACAAATTTCTTGATAATCAAATAAAACCTCGATAATTGTCATTGACCATAAATGCTTTCTTTGATCTTTAGAACTATTTGAAAGCATACGTTTTGATACATTTACATAATTCCTTGAATAATTAAAGAACTTCGCTCTATAAAACATTATCCCTGCTTTTAGGGAAGTAGGGTAAAAAATTTTTTTTTTATTTTTTAAGGAATGGAATACTTTTTAAAGTTATCATTGATGAGATGAACCAATCATTACGCGTCTTGAATGGGACAGGTAACTCATTTTTCTAATGAGCTTTGGTGATAACTTTTGATACTTCATTGTTAAAATTCTGCATTGCATTTATGTGATTTGTGATATTTAAAAATTTAACGGCAAAAAATCACATTTCCCAGAGTTCCTTGGAGCGAAGCTTTAATATATAACGTAAGACTTAAGTTAATATGATAATATTCAATAATGTGTTAATTTAATTTTACAATATACTAAATTGTGCATTGGATGTTCGTCGCGAACTTTAATCGCGTGAAAATGTGATATTTGACTATGATATGTGTGACGACAACAAGACCAATCGAATAGATAAAGAATTTATATAAATAAGAAATCATTGATTGAAATTGGTTTTAAATATTTTCTCCTTTTTTTTATTCATTCCTTACTTTCATTTCGTGTTGAGTCCCGAATACTGACAAATTTATTGTCTAATTTCTCTGAACAACTTTAAATACTCTAAGTTTTGCCAAAGTAAAAATAAAATTTATTCTAAACATAAAGTTTACCACAAATTCCGACTTCGTTCCGTGTTGAATCTTGGCTGTTACAAATATCCTTACGTTATTCTAAGCGATTTTTATTTCTACAAGAAAAGCATCCCAATCTCTCTGAACCTCTTTACTCTTTATAATTCAGAATTCAGTCGAGTGAACATTTTACCTAATTCGTGTGGAAAGTGGAAACTTGACTGCCAGTAAAATATAAAGTATTTGGACTTCAGGTATTCGCGCTCGCCTAAGCAATTATTGCTATAATTCAAAAGTATACACCTTGAAACTTACTGATCTAGTTTGATTCTCGTTAATATTATCAAAGCATACATTTCGGTCAAGCAAAACTTTATATTCTCAATACGTGTACTTGCCGAGTGTTTTATTAAAAGCTATACCTTGAAATCTCCGGGACTCTCGCACTTATTAAAACGTGTCGAGAGAATTTACCTATATACAACATACTTGGTTTTCATTCCTCTCCTCTGAGCTGGACTTGTACTCAGTAAGTGTCCTTTATACGTTCCTAACAACTTGTTCTCATTAAGAGTTAAACTAACAACTTTATACACTCAAAGTCAGGTTCTCTCAGAACCCTTCGATTATTTGAAGTTCTTATCATTTCAAGCATCTGAAAAAATGGGTCGTCATCCAAAGAACCAACCATCAAAGACGAGTGTGCAAAACGGTTCCCCTACTATTTCTACGTATGAAAAATACAAGGAAATCAAACGTAAATACAGGGAATTGAAGAAGGCGAGTAAAATTTTTCACGAAAAATATAAGAAATAAAAGAAGCATAGACGAATAATAGTTCATAACATTGAAATCTATTTTTTTCGCGTTCTTTAATATTTTTTATAGATGAACAATGAGCTAAATGAAGAATACGGACGCGCCATAAAAGAAGCTAGAAAATGCAAGGATGAAAGAGAGTAAATATAACATATTAATATTGTTATACGTTTATTTTATTTTATTTTTATTTTAATATTAAAAATTTTTATTTACGATTAATTTACAGTTCTTTGCTGGAAAAATTGGCCACAAATTATGTTAATGAAGAATCTACATCATTCATGGATCATCAAAGACGACTAAAAAATCCCCTTATTGCCTATAACGAAAGACCAACAACACAAATTGCAAGGAATATTGTAAACGATATTCCAGCTGTTTCATCATCATCAGCGGCAAAACGTGGTCCTGGTCGCCCTCCTGCAAGCTCGAGGAACGTAAAGGCATATCATGTTGATAAGGACACGAACGGTAACTATGTCTTACCGGTCGAGGTAGGACTTCACACGATCCTTAGTTTAGGAACCGTTGTATACGATCGTGCTGCGTATCACAACGATCGATATATATATCCAGTCGGGTATTCTACACATAGGTAAATAATTAAATTTTTTTTTTTTTTATTTCATGAATACGATCTAACTGTTAATCTTATCACGTGTTTAGACCATACCTGAGTATGATAGACCCGACTCGGGATACAATATATACCTCGACTATTGAAGATGGCGGGGACAACCCAAGAGTAAGTAACGTAATTCATTTTGATCCGTTTGAATATCCTTTATTATAAGATCTAAGTTTACTTTGTTGTTTACAGTTTGTAGTTCAGGCTGCTGATCAGCCTGGAAACCCAATAACCGCAAGCAGCGCGACTGGTGCATGGACCCCTGTTATTAGGCAAGCTAATAGCATTCGAAATAGAAAACATTCAAACGCGGCTTCCGGACCGGACTATTTTGGGTTATCGCAACCCACAGTCCGAAAAATGATACAAGAGCTACCGAATGCACATAAATGCAAAAATTATAGGATGCAAGAATTTGAAGTGCATCCAATTGGTACTCGTGGTCGAGGAAAGACAAACAGAAAGGCTAAATATTAATATATAGGGATTGGGATACGTTAAAGTAAAAGGAATGATTTTAAAAAAAATTTTTTGCTTAAATTCTTAAATTTTTTAATATCAAAATTTTTTATCGGTACCTGCGGTATATACACATACATATATGTAAGTCATCTGAATTCGGCAGGGTAAAATTGTTTGAAAGGACAATAATTGAAAAAACTTTTTAGTAGATAATTTCATTATCGTGAGCATTTTTATTAATAATTAATTTCGTAATAATAATTTTCGTGTGATATTGTTCTTGTTCGCAAGAAACATGAAACAATTGAAACATATATTCACTTAAAAACTCTGTAAATAATATATTTTTTTAACACGCGTTTAATCACGTGCTCGATATTAAAAAATTAAAAAGTGGTTGCGTTTGGAATGCACAAGAATAAAAAAAAAAAAATACTTATTATAAGGTCATATGAATTCTATTTTATTATGAGTAAATATTTTATTATTATAGTTTACTAATAATATATTATTATGCAAAGCAGAAGAGACAAAGATTCACTGAAACAACTGAAACAAAGAAAGTCATAGCAATAAAAAAAAAAGTATTTTTTTGATTACAAATAAGAACGGTAAAAAATATATATATATTTACCAAAAAAAAATTAAAACAAAAAAGGCAGTAAAAGTCTTTTTTTGAATAATGATGATAAATAATTTATACATATAATTGAAACGAAAATGGTTCATTTTGTGCGTATATATATATACTTATATATATTTATATACCCGTATTTACTATATTTCATGTGAAATGATAAATAATAAAGACATAAAGTAAATCTATTTCTAAAAAAGGTGCAAATGAATGGTTGTGCCATTTCATGTGATGTACGTCATGGTGATTTATTTAATATAGTATAACGCCAACTAAGAGAGTAATGTTGATTTAACTTCTCAAATTGTCTTTGGAAAATAAAATCAATGAAATCAATTGAACAAAAAAAAGGTATCAAATGAATATATATGTACGGGGAAAAATGGTTACGTAATAATTTTTTTTTTTTTTTTTAAAAAAAAATTGTATATTAATTATTAATTAACAACCCAATATTTCGCGTAGAAAGAAAAAAATCACGTGAATAAAATAAATTTTTTTTTTCGTTTTATTCAATCTGACTAAATAATGATTTTTTCTTAGATAAATTAACGGATTTATCTCGATTTTCTTTTTTTTTTTGTTCAAAGCACATTACACCAAATTTTTTTTAAAAAAAAATGAAAACACGTCTGACGTAATCTAGAGTCCTGTTTTTTTAAAGACGCGATTTTTTTTTTAGCGCAATCTTTCCAATCCACGCCCTTATTGAACCGAAAAAAGAGAAGAATTCTTTTTATAGAATAATAAATATAAAACAATAAAATAATAAAAAAGTCTATTATATTTATTTTTGGTTGAAAAAAATTTTCGAATTACATCTTTTCAAAAAAACAACACGTCATTCTCTCTCAAAGAAAATTTTAAAAAATAAAAATCAAATAAATAAATGAAAACCACCATAAAAGATAAAAACCTAAATATCAAATTTTTTAAAATTTTTTTTTTTTTAAAAAAAAATAAATAAAATAATAAATTGGGGAAAACTTTTCCCAAACCGGGACCTTGGCAATTAATTAATATAATTCTAAGAAAAGTTACGAAAGTATACATACAAGAAAGGATAAAAAAAAAAAAGAAAATTAAACAAATTAAAATCAAGTTCATAAAAAAATTATAAAACCCAGATAATTAAATATAACTCTAATTAAAGATACAAAGGAAAGGGGAAATACAAGAGAAGATGTAATATTTTTTTTGCCAAGCCGGTCGGCATTTTATATAATAATATATAATATGAATTGTTTTTTGTTTATGATTGTAATTACATATAAAAGAAAAATGGAAAAAATGTCCGAAATTCCAACAAAAATCAACCAAATAATCTTTAAAGATTTTTCTTCCCTAAATAGAATTTAAATAATTGACTTTAAATAATTGATTAATCTAAAAATTATTTTTTTTTTTTTTTTTTTTTGATCAAAAGAAATAAACATAATGAACGCGTTTCTTTCATAAACATTAAGTATATTTAGTTACGAGTTGTTTTCTTTTTACGTCCTCCTTTCTTTCCAGAAGCCAATTTTGCGAGATTTTTAATAAGCGCATCATTCTTGTTAACCTCTTCTTCATACAGCTCTAGCTCTTTCTTCATGGCTTTTGCTTTTCGAAATTCAGGAGTATGTTTTATCAAGTAATAAAATTCTACAACTTGTGCAGTTGATTTATTTACTTGTTTACCTATCACTGAAAAATCTTTTCCATGTTCTAAATACGAAGCAAGAAACATTTTACGTTGAATAGGAAACCATGTTAAAAGAATTTCGCTCTTTTTTGGTGGGATTGGATAATTTGGAAAATTTGGATTATTTGGAGGAATAAATTTATATCCTCCGCATCCAATAACTCCATCACTACCTATAGTAGGTATAGGTATACGTCTCGTCTTTGTATAAGGAGCTTCGAGAGAAGGAATAGGTGCACCACGTTCACGATAATATTCTTCTCTTTCATCATCCTCTGTAATAACAGATTTATGTTTTCTTAAACGCGTTGCAGGTCCAGAAAAACGTCGCTTGCCTAATATTTGTTCTTTAGAACGACTGCTTGGTTTTGGTTTTCGTGAAGACCGTCTTGGACTTTGAGGGCAAGGACTGGATGGAGGACTTGATACTGCACTGCTTGCTACTGATGAAAACGCGGGCGATAGATGTATTTTTTTCCTTTCCTCTACGGCTAAAGATGCAAGTGTTGTGATAGCGTCAATATCTTCGTCTGCAGAACTATATGATATTGGACTAGAAGAAAATTCACTAGGTGATGGTGCTCTTCTTGGTGAGAAGTGAGCACTAAGTACGACGCGTGGTAATGTACGCGACGAATTTGAACCAGTGTCATTTTCTAGGGTCTCATTACGAACCTCTAGATATTCTGACTCTTTTCGCGTCTCTGTTGCTTGTGAAATATTGCTATTATTAATTTTGTTTGAATAAATCGGTATTTTAAGTGGGAATACTGTAGTGTTAGTTGGTGTTTTTGGGATGGTCGGAATTGAGCACATATGTGTGAATTGTGAAAGTTGGGCCGAAGCCATTGCAGACTTTAAAAAATTATTAAAAGTAAAATTAATTAATTTTTTTTAATATAAATAAAATAGACCAAAAATTTTTTTAAAAAAGCACATGAAAGTTTTTGTGAACATAAAACCTTAATTCGCGTGTTAAAGTTGTGTGCTTTTTTTTTTTATTCTTGGCTCAAAGTGGCGTCTTTTTGTGTCAAATACCGTCTGGATCAATAATGAAACGGTATTTATACTTTATTTTATCCTGTTATCTTTTTGGTGAAACTTGCCACACCTCCTTCAACGCAATATATTAAATAAAATATAAGCCCTTTTTCGTTTAAGTGTTTATATATATATTTATTAACAAGTCGTTATTTTAGTAGTACAAGGTGGAATTTTTGATGATGAGGGGAAAGAGAGCAAGTCTAATAAAAGGGATCGTAAAAAGTCAAGTCTCACGAACCAAGCAAAAGTTAGACAATTATTGAACACTTTAAAAAGTTAAAGTCTTAGTCCGCGTTCGTTTTAAAAAAGAAACAGGAATAAATATATTGGACAGTAGTTGTAAAATAAAAAAAACACGCGATAGGTGACAAAGCGACGCGAAAATATTTAATTACGAGAGTTATGTTGTAACAAGCGTTGGTGGAGGGCGGTTGTTTAAAGGTGCTAGAAAAATGTCGATGTTTGAAGTTGTGGGGAGGTGAGTCAGAATAAAAAAAATAGGGTGTTTAGGGTGTTCAATACTAAATTGTAATCTGGTACGATGACCATAAATATCAATAAAGGTTCAACGAATTCATCGATTAGGCAAACTCAGCCGAATAAAGTCCGGTGTTACACGGGCCGATATTACTGAAATCACGGAAATTATTTTTATCGGTATTAAAATATTACTGTATTTTAAAAAAAAATCACCTCGTTAACATTAGTTTAAATTCTTTGAACACGAAATTTTTATAACTATTTTAGTGAAATATTTAACTTTCAAGAAAGTTTACAATTCAAACATCTATAGTTATGTTATTTCCTTATTCGAAAATAACGGTCACATTTTCGCCTTATTGAAAATCATCTATGCAAAGCTGCAGTGTTTATCGAATCGGATCTTTATAAATTTCTTTGATTTATTAATAAAATATTAGAAAGGAAATTCTAAGATTCTTTTTGTAACAATTTCGTCACCATTTTTTGAATGATCAAGGTCGGCTGAATGCCGGTTTAAACTTATAAATTGCGCCACAGCCGCATGAACTTTAATTATTTTTGTCCCATCTTTCCGGGGTTCACCGGCATTCAGTTAATTTGATTGGTGAATCAAATACCAAAAAAGATTTTTATTTTTCCGTATAAATAATCAGATTAATTTATCTCTGTTAGATTTATCTAATGGATTCGAACGAACAAAGTGATTTTCCTCTAAAAACAAGACAAACAGCTCGTTTACTTAACGGTATACATACGGAAGTATTAATTACGGGATTTCGTGACAAAATATTTGTAATTGTCACTCAATACGGGAAAATTGGCAGTTTGGTACGCTAAGTTCTCAAAGATAATGCTACAATAAAAAAAATATATAATAGCTATTTCTAACCTTTTTCTTTTTTGATAGATTTATGTGACAGTTGACTCACAATTGCCTTCTCCACTTTCAGTAACGACTTCCGCTTCCACCAATGTAAAATTCCTTCTCGGATCCATTACTCCGCTATATCAATTATACGCATCACACATAGCTACTGTTATAGCGACAGAGAATTCTGGTGACGGAAGAGCTGTAGTGGTAGGGTTAGCATTAATGAAAAATAGTGATAATAATGATAACGGAGATCAAGATGAAGAAATTGGAGACAAAGAATTATTTAATGAAATTGAATCAATGGTGAAAGAATGTAGAGTTTGGTGATAATTATTTTTTCTATCTTGGGAATGCATACATGTACGAGACTAGTTTACAATATTTATTTAAATAAAGAAAAAAAAATTATTATTAAATTATTTCAAGATCTTCAGTTTCTTCCAATGTCGTTTTTGAGCCCCAAAATTCGATATCTCCATCTAGCTTTTCTAATTCCCCATCAATTGGAAACCATTGCCAACATAAGTTATCAAATGTACCAGTTGGCATGTTTATCGAAAGATTGTCATCATATTTTGGTGACAAATAAATCGATGGAAAAGGAACACTTTGGATAATAGTCAAAGCGTGAAAGAATAGTTAAGGATGATAGCTAATAGAGAGAAAAAAATGTGAAGTGGAAAATAAATATAAGGAAGAAAGGATATAGAGCTTATGTATGGAGCTTTCCTATTTAGCAAAGTCGTTGACATCCTTTAAAAAAAAAAAAGTTTATTATTAGATTAGACATGATTATAAGTCAACGTCAACATGCGTTTCAAAATTTGCCTTACGTCTCATCGTAAAAGTCCAATCTGTTTCCTACAAGAATAATCTTTTCCAACTTATTTCTTTCCCAGTTTGACGCAATCACGTTATTATATAATCCAAGTGGACAATGTGGCATGTAAAAAAGAGTTTGATTCGTGATTGGTCTTTTTGCTTTCTTGTATAATTAAAGAAATTAAAAAAGAAAAATTAATTTGAAGAATGATTTATTTTATCAAATTTAAATAACATACTTCATTAGCATTTATCGTATTTATCTCATAATGTAAAAGAATTTCTAAGTCAATGGGAGTCGAGACCGGATCGTATGCATAAGCTTTTCCTGTTATCTGTAAAAAAAAACCTTAATTTTCTAGGATAATTGCAAAGACACGTGAATTATGGTTTATTTAGTATTTACTTCAAATAAATCTCTCAAAATTAAAACGAGCGCAAATTGATATTGTGATATTATTGATTTTTCAATGCTTCCAATTCCGTAACAAACAATATCCACGATTTTTGGCCGATGTGGAGAGAAAAGTTTATTATTGATAGTTTCTACAATGTAATTAATTCAATGTAAACATTCTCTTCTATATTATATAATTTAAAACTAAATTGAATTTTAAAATTATCAAACCTTGCACTTCTTGGAAGAAATCACTTTGTAAAAGAGTTTGCCTAGAAGAATGCGCCACACTTATTAATTTAATAATAGGTCAGGCCCACATTTATAAAGTCACTAAATAAATGCAAAACCTTTTTTCCTCTATATAAGAAATAAAATCCACTGCGGTTTTCTCTTTTAAAATCCATTTATTTTTTCCGCGACGATTTTTTTTAGATCTTTGTGATTTAAGATTTCGATATTTAAAAACATTATGTTTATCATTTAGAATGTCATCCATTCTTACCAAAATTCGGAAATCATCAAAATTAATATAATGATTCAATGTTTTAAGGAAATATGAAATGATTATCACTTGATTTTCTAATTATTAATAAAAAAGTAAGTCAATTATTTAATTAAATCATAAATTGTCAAAAACGAGACTATTGAATGTCTTTACTTGAAATATAAATTTTTGGTCTTTTCTAAGTTAATGAAATTATGAAATTAAGAAATAAAATATGTTTACGGATTAGATTTTTTTTTTTTTTTTTTTTNGTTTTTTTTTTTTTTTTTTCTATTATTAGAAAGGTTTTATTCGTTATTTATAGTAAATATTGACTGTCGATCTTTTGACAGATAAACATTTATGTATCACAGTGTGAATTCTCGCAGCAAATGACCTCTCTGGTGTTACCTTCTTTGTTCCGGAGATCAAAAATAATACACAAGTATAATTTGATTGGTTCGTCCAATGTGTCCTACGCTAAAGAAGGATTTTTGCGTCAGCAGATCGGCAAGTTTGATACTCAAACTTAACATTATTGTGCAACTCTCACCCATTTTTTTGTCTCTTTCTTTTCTAGTTGTCAACTTACTCATTAACTTCATACGTTCTTTCCGTTTCTGTTCACCTTTAATAACTATCTTTTTAACATCGCAGTGTTCTAGAGACAGTTCAATCAAATTTAAACTTCTAAATCGTTGCAACATTATTAAGTGGTTTTGTACTTTAACATCTCAACCTATTCCCATTCGGTTCAAAAAAAAATATTTAGTTATTTATTTGGTTATGACAAATTTTTGATAGAAGTATGCCAGAATTGACAACTTCTGTCCAAATCGTAAATTCGACTTCTGGTAAGTGCTTGCTTTTATGTTTGTTTGTTTTCACCCTTTTTTACTATTTAACCGAAAAGTGAAATACTCATCTACTTTGCTTTAACAGCACTTAAGGAAGTAAACAAAAAAACTATGGATACACCTGTAGGAATTCTACGTAACGGTAACGTTAATAGCGCACAACAGGTATTTTTATTTTCTTAAAGTTTAGATCTACCTAGTTTTTTTCTTTTTATTTTTTTTTACCTTATTTGAATAATAATAGATCCTTGATTTATTTTTAAAGTCCTATTAATTCTATAATTAAATCGGTCAATCTTTTAATAAATTATAGAGTAAGACAGTTACTACTGTTACTACAACAATTACCCCATTCTCTGATACTTCTGATTCGGAACAGGAAGGTATTAACCAAGCCGAATATGGTCAAGAATATGAAACTGAACCTGAAGGTGGTGTGAACCCTGAAGAGGCCAGAGAAACACTACAACATGAACATTTAATAAAATCCGGATATCTTAGTAAAAAACAAGAAAGACGAAAAGTACAATAATGATTTTTAATATTACTATATAATACATTAAAATATTTCCTAATAAATTAAACCAGCAATATTTTATTTTTTTCAGAATTGGAAACGTAGATGGTTTGTGCTAAGATCAACCAAATTAGCATATTATAAGAGTGATAAGGTAATAAAATTCATTTATTCTTTGATTTTAATTCTAACCTAAGTTTATTCTCATTTAAAATTTTATTATTTAGGAATATGAACTTCTTAAAATCTTGGATATGAATGATATTCATGCTGTAGCTGAAGTTAAACTTAAGAATAAACAAAATGTATTTGGTATCGTTACGCATAAACGTACATATTACGTTCAGGCTGCGAGTAAAAAAGAACTTGATGAATGGGTGGAAGCGATAAATAATGTCAAGAAAGTTGTGCAAGAAAGAGAGTTCTTAGATGATGATGATACGGGAAGTCAGGCAGATAGTGAAGATATGTCAGGAATAAAAGGAAAATCTTCTACAGTAAAACGAATCGCCAATAAATCACCTTTGTCCGAATCGATTCCAGCCATGGATAGTTCTCTCTCAACGTCTCCAGAAAAAGGGACAGCTGCTATTGATATCCCAAAATCATCATCTGAATATAACGTAGAAGGAGATAATTCTTTAGCGTCATCATCATACACGTCAATTCCAAATAATGCTTCCCCTCCTTCAAGTCCAATTACAGGACAATTTGCATCAGAAAGAAAAGACAGTAGTCCTACGGCTAGCTCTGAAGAGGAAGAGGAAGATGATGATGATGAGATTGATGAAGGGATGGATGATGGCACAATTCACAAAGGACTTGTATACAAATTGGATAGATATAAGGTATGAAAAAGAAAAAGGCAACTTATTTTAAATCGTTTATGCATTCTAGATAATTCTATTAAATGTATTATAGAAAATTTGGAAGAAAAGGTGGTTTGTGCTGAAGAATGATCAACTTTTATATTACAAGAATTATAAGAACAAGGTAAGAAAATATATATATACATATATATTTTTTCATATAATGTATGTTATTATACTAATTTGTATTTATATTAACTTATTAGAATCCTAAACCTCATTTGAAAATCAATCTTGCGGATATTCTTGATGTTATTGAAACAGATCCAATTTCTAAATCCAAACAAAATTGTTTCAAAGTTATCACACCAAAGCGTACATATATCTGTTGTGTTGATGGCGAAGAATCTCAGGTTGCATGGTTAGCAGCCCTTAAAGTAGCTCTGGAAAAAACAAAAAAAAATTGAATTGCGCGAAGTATAAAACTTCATGAGTGTTAGAAACGAGTATCCTTGTGGGAACTCATTTTTTCCTTGGTTAAGTATTGTAAATTGTGGATTTACTTTTGAAAGGAAATATATATTGTTCCTTTTATTAATTATGTGGATAATTTTTTTTCTTTTCTTTTAAATTTATTCGGATAATATAAAATTTATAATATTTGTTGGGACACATAATATTTTGTCTTTGTAATGATTTATATTAAATTTCCTTAATAATTTCCCCGTAATCGTTTTACCTTTTATAATTTATTCGGTTTTTACTTTTTTTACCTCTAATTCTGCAAATAGACTTAAAAAAACTAATGACTCCATTCCTTTATGTATTAATATGTAACCTTTCTTCCCTATATTTCCTATATCATAAATTCCTTTTTAATCTTAATTTCTTAACTCTTAAAACTCTCTTATACTTCTTTCTTTTAATTTTGATTTGTAATTTTATATTAATCTTTTCTTAGACAAAAAGAATTTTTTTAAAAAAAAGCGAAATTAAATATTTGGAGAGTTTCCTATACCACATTCACAACTTTACAAATCTGTTTTCTAAACCTTTTTTAGACTTATTTTACAAATAATTCTACGGGGGACATTATTTTTTTATTACCTATATATATCATACGTATGTTAAAAATATCAAAAATTTTTACAAAGAAAAATAAATATTTATTTGCTTTTTTTTGTTAATAATTTTGATACACTGTTATCATATTATTTAGCTTAATAATGGTAAACCAATTTTTTATCTCAATCTTAATTCTTTTATGCAAGTTTTTTCTTCGGCTCTTTTGTGCTATATCAATATATCATTAATTACATAATAATTTTTTAGACATAAATTATTACGGAGCAGAGCAGATGATGATATTGAATTAAGGATTATAATTTCAGTTTAAACTCAGTAATTGTTATATTAGAAATAAAATATAATATAATAAATTACGCATTAAAAACATAATTTGAGTAGGAAATGAACGTAAAAATTTTCATAATATACAGTCGAATTCGTTATCACGTGATATGGCCAATAGGATTTTTGTATAAAAATTATGAAACTTGAACTTCTATTGAAGAAAAAAACTTAGGATTCGTTTTTCAATTTTTTCTATCATGGCAGTAAGTTTATTTTAATAAAACTAAAACAAACGCAAATTTTGATGATTAACGAACATAGGTATAATAGTTTCAACCCGTAAACCCAAAGCCATTTTTACAAGAATTAACAGGTAAACCTGTTATGGTTCGTTTGAAATGGGGCATGGAATATAAAGGGTTCCTCGTTTCCGTAGACTCTTATATGAATTTACAGGTAATGTATTTATATATTGCATTCTAATATAACTTTTCTTACTTACAAATTACTTTCTAATTTTTTAGCTAGCAAATACCGAAGAATTTGTTGATGGTCAGTCAACTGGCGCTCTTGGTGAAGTATTGATCAGGTTAGTTCAATAATATATATTCATTTCATTTTATTCACATTACCCTAATGGTAATTTTTTTTTTAGATGTAATAACGTTTTATACATCCGAGGAATTGAAGAAGATGTTGAAATGGGTGGAACATAATACTTACATTTTTTCTTAATAAAATTTTTTATCTTGAGGAATAACATCAATACGAAATCACAATGATAGAATTTTTTCTATTTAAGAATTAAATATTTTAAGAAAAAATTTCTCACATTTAACTATCTGATAACTGGCAAAAGTTATATCTAGTAATTATTATTTGAGATAATGATCAATTGATCTATATCCTAGCAGAAATAAAGCATATAAATTAATAGTCTCCTAATTTTACTGCAAAATATTAAGTAAAAACTTATAAGGATTTTGCAGTATTATGGATTAAATATTTCAGATATTATCTTTTAGTAGGATCAATCTAAAGAACACTACTATATTCATCAATTAAAGATAAAAATATTAAAATTTTATTAAATCATCTAATCTAAATTAAAATGATTCATATTAGTATTATAATTAAGGAAAAATAAATATAACAACTATAAAATAGTATTAAATTTATTAAATTTATTACATAAATTTTTTCAATTTAATGTATACTAATAGTATATACAGTTGATTCTCTTTATAATTACTTTCCATATAGTTATTTCTTTTCTTTAATTATACCATTATTTAGTTCCAATTGGTTTTATAAGAAAATACCTTATAATATTATATAAAAATACAATTACACCAATTTCCAGTTCTTAAAAGTATAATCCAAATTTTTTTTTGAAAATTTCCTATTACTTTGTATAATTAGAACTCTAGATAGATCATAATGGACTTTTGGCCAAAATTATGTTATAAAGTGATTGTATAGATAAAATACTTTATCAGTCATTTACTAATTGATGATTTGTATTAATACAAACAGTTACTAAGTTGTATAAAAAAATACCTATTATGTAAGCCTGATAAAACAGTTACTTGACATATGTAACCTTATAACTGTGATACTATCATGCTTTACATATATTTGCAATAAGAATATGATTAGTGAAATTTGCTGAGCTGTAATTCTACCAATCATATTGCTTATTGCAAATACAACAGTTACTCAGTACTTTGTGCTAAGTAATTATTAAATACTGATCAACTATATATATAATATATTATACTACCATTAACTGAAAAAAGTTCTTGCTTTATGCAATAAATATATTAACAAATGGTATTGTTTTATTTACTTGGTTTTTATTAATCAAATTAGCATCAGGATTTAATTAATTTCTCTTTTAAAAAGTAAATCAGTATTGTTTATTATATGGACCGATTTGTCTCAAATCACTAATTAAATTTTAGTAATAATTATGATTTCTGATTGTCATACTGTTAAAATAGAAATGTGGCGCAGTAATTTTATGTAGATCAATTTTGTAGATCATTTCGTAGATCCCTTGATTTTCTTGATTTTCTTGATTTTTTCGATTTATTCGATAAATCTGATAAATTTGATTTATTTATTTTATTTATTTTATTTGTTATATTCGATTTATTTGATATATTTATTTTATCTTATTTATTTTATTTATTTATTATATTTGTTTTATTTATTTTATCAAATATTCTTAATTTTTATTTTATTATAAATAGTGATTAAGTTGAAAGAGTGGTTTATAAGTTTTACAGTTAATTTTCACAGATAGTTAAGAATCATATTGTAGTTTTTGAGTTATACGAAAAGAGTATTATTCCCAGTAGTATAATTTAAAATAGTTAATTTCACAACCAAGAGATTATCTATATTTTTCATCGTATCTAAAATCTTACATTATTTTAATAAAAACCTATTTTTTTTAACTGAACATCCAACATTAATTCACGTGATTAATTGTAATTAACTTAAAACTCTCCTATTAAGTTAAACTCCAGTTAATCTGTTAAAGCGTTAAAGTTTTTCAGTCAGCTTTAATCGTTGACAGAATAACAATATATAATACAAGTAATACTAAACCATGTGAAATGTGTGTATGGGTCACAGAACGTTAAAAACAATATTAATTTTTTCTTATTATATTAGAAGAGTTTCTATCGGCTCTAGAAATGCTATTCAGATAGGGAAAAAATTCGAAATATTTTGGGAGATCGATTTCTTATATGTGGAAATTAATTTGTCGCACAAGCAATCATACAGAGTTACAGATGATTTGCAGAGTATCACCTATTACATCATATATACTTTAACGAGGATCAAAAATGTGCTAATTTATGTCACACACACCTACATGCATTGTGGCTGGATATATTCAGGGTTTTAGTCAAGGCTGATCTGGAAAATTCAGCGCACAAACTCACAATTATCATCTAAATCTGAGAAATTCACAGTAAAATACTTTCCTAGATGAGCATAATATGTTCTTAACGTTGGTAAATCACATATGTTTCGTATTTCAGATTTATTCCTATATTTTTTGCAATCTGAAATTCTGATGAAGTATTCAAAGTTATATTTTTTATTAATACGATAATGTTCAGGATTCTGTAGCCATTTTAACATAATAAGCTAATGTGCACCTCTAACAACTATATAACCTTGCTGATATAATATTTTATAAACAAGTATGTGTGTTACATTAGCTAATCGTATCCATAATTGGTATCTCTTCTCAATTATCCAGTCATTTTTTGCTGGACAACAATAACCATCTTCATCATATATTTGTCCTGAAGGATTAGAATAACCCCATTCGTTATTTATACCCAAAAATTTTTTCTCATCAGGAGTACCATCATTCCTCACCGCCTCCCAAATTCATTTTGCCAAAGATTCAGGTCTTTTCTTGTAATTCCTGTAAGCTCGCTGGATAACTGTTGCATAGAAATTCTCAAACTGATAGTTATATCATTTCGCAATCAAGAATTCCCAAGATCGCTTCATAGATCTTCCTGAAATACTTTATTAAAATAGTTATACAATATTGGAGGATCTAATCCAGAATAGACGGATCATGCATAGTGATTTTTATCCCGCATAAATTATGCAGGTGATACATTTCACAATTATACTAGGTGATCATGTATGCAGATTATATAGCGCAAAAAAATAAAGTATAAGTTATACATTGCGCTTCTGGCTAAATGATATTAATCTTCAGTTAAAAGCAATAGTCTATAATTAAGATATTTCTCGAAATTAGTCAGTTAAACAAATGTGATTTTTGTCCCATCTTTCAATCTTAATGCGGGCTGATTATGATTATTTATAGATGGTAGTAAGTTATTTTGTTTTGCATACCGAGACGAGATAAATATTTCACTTATATTACTTTTGATTGATGTGAAATTGGCGAAACCATTTCTTGCCTGGCAGGTGGAATATAAGCTGGCTCAAAATTTGGAGCACTTGGCATAGTATCTTTTGCTTTAGATTGTGCATAATTTTCATAGCTAGCTGTAAAATTCGCATCATGATCATATAATACTGATGCCAGCTTATCCTTTTCCAAGTGTAGAGTAGATTGGGATAAAAGCTCCAGTTGGAAATGTTTAATATTTGCCTCTTCCTGTAATATGTATTGCTTATATTGCCAGATCTGAAATTCCCTCCTATCAATAGATTTGAGAATTTCTTTTCTTCTTGAATGTTCATTCAAAATACTATTTCCAGAAATGCATCTCTTCAAGTGGTTATCTTGATAGATACGAACATTTAAAGAAGTATAAGGTATGAAGACTAAGGAGTCACATACACTGCAATATATATAATTTGTTGGATAACCGTGGACTTTACCATTTTCATATAACTTTCAATACATTTCAATATATCCATTCTTAGAAAGGATTCTATTCCCCGAAGAATAGTTCTCTTCAAGTATTTTCCTAAATGGATCACGGATACAAGAGCACCACATTTCTGGTGTTTCGTGATCATGTCTTTTTGTTAAAGGGCCTAATCTTTCAAGTATTCTTCTATAATCTTCAGAGCCTCCATGAGTATTCCATGCATCAATTAGCTTAGAATAGGCTTTACTATCTAAATCCATATTAGCGTTTTGGTAGAATAACAGAATATAACGATTTTATTGATTTTAGCCGATTTTAGCTGATTTAGCAATATTATACTCTAATAAATAACAGATTCAAATTTACTGGTTAAGAGAATTATGGCAGTTTTAATGCTATATAGCGATTTTATCGATTTGTAGCCGATTTAGTGAGACTACATATTGCTAAACTCAAATTCATTTTTATTCGATTGTAGGGATTTATATAGAGTCATATCTAGCTAATTTTATATTTACATGCATATGCACAGCATCTTCGGCTAAATCAGTTTGTGGCATGATGTACTGTATATCGTATCACATGTGATCTCCACTAGTTCCCTGAGTTCCCTGTGCGAAGCGCCTATGGCCCAGTTCCTCGATAGTTCTAGGAGTGTTCCAGGCGCTGGTAAGTTTCTATAAATCACGAGATGATCGGCCAAGTAAACAATTTTTATTAATACACAAAAAATAAGTACAAAAGTTCGGGACGGTAGCCCTTGATACATGACGTCTATGCTAGTATATATGATTATTGTACGGACTATAATAAAAATAATCCGATATGGGCAATTAATTATTTCGATATGAGGCGTAGTAGTCACGTGGGCGTAAACATTGTTCACGCGATCGGCAAAGATTATTCTGAGAAGTTAGCTATAATACTGTTGATTTGAGTGTCAGTTAGTCTTGAAAGGGCATCCGCGCTATATGTTTTAATATGCTTAATTTTCCCCACTCCAATATTCACAAATAACTTGTAAATGACCCTAGCTTTCTGGGTTTTCTTACGCAAATTCGCCATTGTAATATCTGGAAGATGCGCCTTAACCTCATTGTATACTTGAGTCATGACCTGCTGTCCATTCAACCTACTATCACTTTCCCTAATCGCCTTAACTCTATCTTCACAGCCTTAGTGACTTGCTTCGATTGACTCCCTTGTCCAGCACGAGAGTCATCTTCTACCAATCCTAGCGAATCCATGAGCTCCTCATCACCCTGTCCAGTGTCAGTTTGTTTCATCTGAAGATGATATTTTCCAGAGGCGAGTACTGCTTCTTCTCTAAACAATTCAATAGTGAAGGGACACAAAGGACATAATGGGTTTGTCGTTTCTCCTTGTGCAATATATTCTCCAAGACATATCCTGTGAAAGATGTGCCTACAGGACAATACCGTAAATGCCTGTAATCGAAACGTGAGAATGCCTTTGTTGCAAAGACTACATGGATTAAGTTTCGGGAGGTCTTTCTCGTAGGGTATAGTTGAAATGTCTTGATTTCGAAGGTAATTTAATGAGAGTGCTTCAAGTTGGAAAACCTCCGTAGCATCTGTTCGAATTTCAGAAGTGCTGGTCGAAGGTTCACTGGCTATAGTGGTGCTCGAAGGTTCACTAGCCATAGTGTAGAGAGAAAATAAACGCTCCTATGTGTCTTCCACACCCGTCTCCTACTTATACAGTTTTCCCTCGATCTGATTTTTCTTTGATCTGCAGGTGAAATAATAGCCCGAAATTAGTGTGAATAGATGCACCTATTACGCTAAGGGTTGCAGAGATAGTTGCAAAACAAGGAAAATCCCAGATCTTCGTTGACAATCCAACTTATCGATCACGAATTAAGATTTCGTCCCTAAATGCCCTGCATTAGTGTGAGTACGATCAAACTATCAGCATAATTAATCCTTATCAATTCGTCCATTACTAGTCTGCTATCTATATGCGAAGAGTTAATCAAAGCAAGATTTTATTTGCAATACATTAGATAAATTACAAATTAGCGACTTTGCTTATGTTACAGTTGAAAGGCGCTTCATACATGATAGACTAGTCTGTTCATTGCGTCTATTCTATCCACCACCCAATAACCCACTATATTCATTGTTTTTCATCCTAACCTCCGTTTCATCGGTCGTGACGCTAACGAGAACCTTGAAAGGGAAACTATATATATTAGTTACAAGCGCCAATGTCCGAAAGTAAACACCTATCCTTAATTGTCTAATGTTTTGTCTGACGCTTCGCTAATTAACTTTTGTTTCGCTGGCACTTTCACTGAGATATGCAGTGAGTATGCCCGTTATGTTTGCTTATTTACATAGTTGCAATATTCGTACTTGCGGGTTGCGACATTTCGTTTACCTTGGGAAATAGGAAAAAAAGTTTTTTCATTGATATATATGCGATTCGCACGTCGCACAGCCCCTATTCTTCGGCAAGAATTTTGCAGGTGATCGATCTCACATGACGAAATTCTCGTCTATATACTATTGGGATTTTATTATGATAGGCAGAAAATTTAAGTCATGATTGAAATTTTTTTACAAAAATATTACTCATAATTTAACTATGGGCTGTGTGGGAAGAGCTGAAGATTAGACAAAGCATATATAAAGTATCTTTATTTTTCCGATTTCCGATATACACCATAAATCAAAATTGTATGCAGACTAAAGATACTTTATTAATAGTTACGCATTACAGCAACAAATAACTACTGTATAAATTATTTTACATAAGAAATTACAAATAATTCAACCACATTTGTAAATGATAGAGATCGCAATATAAAAAAAATAGAATCTCACATCATAAAGATTTCGTCCATATCTTCTTCTGTTACAAGTGAAATGTCATCGTTCGGTAGGTGTAACCACTCTTAAATTTCCAGAAAACTTGTCAGTTGGAATAAAACCACGAATTTTCTTTTGTAATTTTTCTTGTTCCACGAACTCACTTCGAATAACTGAAAAAAAATTAAAAATGTTCATGTAACATGTGATAGCGTCAAACGCGAATGGAAACACACAGGAAGCCAATTCTACAGCCAGATATTTTCTTTTTCCTACTAAAGAGCAAACAACGTGAGTCGGTCATCTATGACCTGGATACTATAGGTTTTACCGTTTTTTGCGTCCTCAATATTGCAATCAAGGCTATTGCCAAGGAGCCGACACAAACTGCAGATAGCCATAATTAGTAGTTTTTTGACATCGCCAACCGTGTGTTTTTTCATTGATCTGTAAGGAGGCCAGACACTTCGACATTCAAAAGCTCCCTTGCATCTGATAATCGGAGGATGAGTAAATCCGTTTTTCGTTGCCCAAAACTACTTGTAAACATGATATTCGCTTCCTTTATAGATCTTATGTCTTTTTCTAACCACATGTATTTGACGTCAGGAAAAGCATTGTGAAATGCTCGCAGAATTGGGGACAGACATTCGACAATGTAGGATCGTTCAAGCATGTCTCGATCTAAGACTTTCGGCATCAAATATCTAAACCTAAAGACAAAGTCCAGTAATGCACATCGTATAAAGAACATAAATCTATTCTCTTCCGATGTTTGATTATCTCCAATATTTGTTTCCGAAATTATTTTAGATTCGATTTCAGAATAATTTGCTTGAAATATGTCTTCGAGCTTTTTGATTATCGAATCACTCATAGCCAGTTTGTTTCTTGACTGGAGCATATTACAAACTCTCTCATATATTGGTTCTTCGATCGTTTCTTTGACAAGATGTATCGTTGTATTAAAAGCACAAATTATGTGTGCAGAAAATTCATCATATGTTGATTTCGTGATAATGGGTTTATTAGGTGTCGCTATTAAAGTGCTTGTAGCTGAATGAACTGTTGGACAAGGTGTACTTTCGCGTGAAGTTGCGAAACCTTCTGAAGTATTTAATTGCTGGGGTGTACTTAAAGTAATTTCGCACAAAGTAGTATCTTCAGAGGTATTTGAAATCATGGTTGGTTGAGTCAGACGTGATGTATTTTCATCCTCTGAAGTTTCTACGATAATGTCACCTTTGTCCATATCATCACAGTTCGCTTTTCCCCGTAATCACTTTGATCTTCTTGATTCCTGTTTCTTGATAAGTTCAATAAAATTAGAATAAGAATATTTATAATCGTGTAAAACTGTGAAAAAACATCAAATTACTTATTCTCTCTGGTTTCTCTGTGTAGTCTGAATCAGACGAATGTTCTTCTTCATCTGAACTTTCAGTATAACGATAACGTATTGATTTTCTTTTTCCAGTCGACTTCTTTCATGCAAAAAAAATCATAAATCAGTTTCAGTCGATTAGCATCATAAAGAAATACAACTTATAGCTAAAGATAAAAATTGTACATCCGTACCTTTGGCTTTCTACTATCCATTATTGATCCCGATCACTGAGCTATTCGTAACTTGGTGAAAGTGAACTGAGGTTCCATCAACTGGTTTAACTTTCTTTTCCTTCTTCCAATCTCGAGCATGAGCATAATCAGGACCCTGGAAAATAAATTTCGAACTTAGTAATATTCTTGATTATCTTTAAAATACATTATCCGATTTTGCATCCCACAAGGTCGACCCAAAGTCTCAAACGTAAGAAATTCCCAAAGATATTGTCTTACGCCTAGTGACGCAAGTGTTAGATCGACCCAAAGTCTCAACGTAAGAAATTCCCAAAGATATTGTCTTGCGTCCCAATACTGCTTCGTAGCTTGTCCTAAAGACTTAATTGACGCATGACCCAAAGTACACGTGCCAACGCCACCAAAAAACTTATCGGTGTTTTCAACAAGAAAATAAAGAAGATAAACTTGCCCGTTTGTACTGTTCAAGTAAGTTCTTTGCCCGTTCACGTCTTGGGCCTTTTTGAGTATCATTAATGGCCTCAAGGGACGTAAGGTACGACTCTATCTTTTGTTTGAATAATGATATATTACATTCTTCTAAAAAAGTCAAAATATTCCAATTCTCAGGCTCGCGATTAAAAAACTCGTGTATCTTGTTAACCGACATTGCTGATAAAAAAGACTTGGTAAAAAGAACTTTTTTTTTATAGTCCACTTAAATATAATCTACAATACAATATAACGATGATTACTATATCATAATCGAATCATTTCTGCACATGTGCCACATCGCCATATACAGAATCTTTAGTAAAACCATATTACTAAATAATGAAAAGTCATGACCACTTTATGTCCACTTTGTGCAGTAATATGTGGCACAGTAAATGATGAAAAACTTCCCCAGTATCACCGTAGAAAAATGTCACATTTGGCCCGCATTACGGCGTTATGCACTAACACGTGAAAATAAATAGTGACGAATAAGGGGCGATGAATAAGGGTTTGCCTACTCAAAAAAAACTGAGTCCCTCAGATACTTATAGAAAATGGAAACTCGGTGGGGTGTGACGGTTGTGATGAATAAAAATGATCACGTGAACGTGACATTTTTCTACGGTGATACTGGGGAAAATTTATACATGCCACCCAAATTATTTTGGACTGCCGTAATTATAAGTAAAATCCCAAATTCAATTATGGCATCCCAAATTATTTTGGCACTTTACATAGTAAATTATATATAAACCGAATGAATTATGACATCCCAAATTATAATTATAGCATCCCAAAATAATTTGGGCAGCATGTATAGGGGAAATTATGAAGAAACCTCACAACTACCCCAGCAACACTGGCAATTTTTGCACAGATGTCACATATCACATAATATCAATCACGTGATTTTGATATTTACTTTACCTTTTATGGTTGATCTGTATTTTGAACAATGGTTTATTTTAATATTTTTTGTACTACAACTTTAGTCTCCATTTTTCGCGTCTTCTTACGTCTCTATTAAATATACAAGTTTTAAATAAAAAACTTTTTTATTATAAAACTCGTTAAATTTTCAATTTAACACTTGTATTTCATTAGTTCATACATATTTACCTTGACTTTAGAAATGTTTTTCTTTAATAAATTACAATCTACAATCACTGAACGTGAACAGATAGACAAAAAAATTCGCATGTAAGTTTCTTTGTTTTTATACTATAGTGCTTATAATTTTTTTTCTTGCTTTTTTTTAATTACAAATGGTCTTTGATTTATTGGAATTAAATGTTATATTGACTTATTATCTAACACAGTTTGTCTTTTAACAGGATTAACTGTTACAGCATTACAAAATAGATACTAATATGTAAGAGCAGTTAGATTTATGGGAACAGGATAATTATCATATATTTTTATTTAATATACTAGTAGTAAATAGTTTTATTAGATTTTGGTTAGATTTATATAATTTTAATATATAATATTTAATAAAATTTTATGAAGTTTATTAAAGAAAATCAAATTTATTCAATTATTTTTATTATTCAAGATACATTGTTGAATTTGTATTATCTTTCCAAGTTCGTGGATTGGTAATTCGTCTATTAAATTGTGTAATATCATTAACAAGCTTTCAAACTCCATCAAAATTCGCTTTTATCCATTTGTAGTTGTTTAAGGCATGTTGCTCACATACAATTGATATTGCCTGATCAAGATAGGACTCAATTTCTTGAAATTTTTGTTCCTTGTTTTCTAATTTTATTTACAATTAAATTTAATTAATATTAGATATATTTTAAAAGAAAAAATTTAAAAATACTTCTGTTATTTCTATACCTTTCATCCTTTCTACTTCTTCTACTCCTTCTACATCTTCTGTATCTTCTGCACCTTTTGTTATATTTGTACCTTCCATTTCACCTTCTGATCTTTTTTCACCTGCTACTTTGTTCAATAAAGTTCCATTAAAATAGTTTTGCTCTTCAGATACCATACCAAGAAGAGGATAAATGCCTTGTCTTTGTACACTATTAAAAAATTCTATAGTAATTATATTATTAACTGATTTAACTAAATGCTTACAAAAAAAAAACCTATTATTAAGAAATGCAAGACAACTACAAATCCATTGATCTGTATTAGTATAATATAATTTGCCTGAAAATTCTTGCTTTGCTAAATTTTTCCAACATTTCTTAAATTCTTTTCTCCAAGAAACTTTTTCCCTTCCTGATTTATATTTGTTATACATGGCTTCACTATGAGATAATAAACATGTTATTATAATAAAAGTGACCAAATCTAAACGCGGTCTAAAAAATCTGGGCAAATAATTCCTCTTGATTACTTTCCAGTGAGATTCTACTAACATTGTAGTTTTGAAAATACAAATTTTTTCTGGATCTGTTGCTCGTACCCATAATACCCATAAATTAAATTTATACCAATTACACCACATGTAAGCCCAGACATATTTTAAGTCATTTTCATAATAAAAGTTATACATTTCTTCTGTTGATAATTTCCAAATGTCTTCCCTTGATAAAAATTCTCCACTCCCAATAGGAATGAGTGGATGTAAGTGAAAATACTTAGTAAACAATTCTAAAATTTTTACCTGTAAGGTCTTAAGACAAAAAATAAATGGTAAATTAGGTGGTATAATAGGAATCCATAGAATATCAATGAAAGAAAATTGTGAATTGGCTTCAATAGGATTATAAGCATTATATTTTGACTTTGAATTATCTGCTAATTTTTTTTTTGATTGATTTTTTTGCATGCCAAAGACAAAGTTGAATTTTACAATTATTCCACACAATTTTGGCAGCATTGATTTGAGACCAGTCTTTATCTGTTAAAAAATAATAATAAATTGCAAACCAAGTTTTTTTAAATTAGTTAAGAATGCAGTTAATATTTCAGTTCTAACTCCTTCATCCTTTTTGGCATTATCAAGAAACTGATATGTAGCTGCAAACCCAGCACCATCTACTATCTGACCAATAACTGCATATAGTTCAAAATTCAATGCATTGGTTTTGTTTAATTTCAAATTAATTAAAATTAATATAAAATAAATTAGTAAAATAATAATCAATAAAATAATGCTTACAAGTTGCATCAATAAGAATTTCTTGATTATGAATAAGTTCATTGAAAAATGGCGTAATAAATGCCAAATATTTGACATTTCCAATAATATTTTGCATTATTATCTCTTTATTGCTTTCTTCTAATAATAATAAACTTGATTTTAACTAATCTAAATCTTTTTGATATTGTTTTTTAATTAGTATAGTCCACCAATAGTGATATTGCTTCTGTGTTAAATTTGGATTATTAATTTCTAATTGACTAAAAATTTCAGCAGGAGTTTGATGAAGCCTGTTACCTATAAAGTTTCTGATTTCTTGATTTACACTGATTCTTTCTGGTCTATCATGGATTAAATCATGATAAAGTTGAATATTATTGCGATTTTAAGTATTCCATTACAATCATATCTTGTAATAGGCAATTTATCATGCTGCTTTGATAAATCTTCAATTTTTCTAGCCCTTTTAGTTAAATCAGAATTTTGTGAACACTTGTACCAAAAACTAGAAATAGGCTCTTTTTTCTTTGATTGATAATCACAATTGAATCTAATATGAAAATATATAGAATAAATTTTTGCTAGCATTCCATTAATCAAAGAGTATTTTTTAAAGAGTGTAATACTCACTGGTAAAAAAATGATTTATCCTACACATATCTTACACATATTGGGTACTCAAAATGTAGAAAGTCATACACAAATAATACACATATCGGGTACTAATATATATATCATACATATATCAGGTACCTGATAGGTATACTATATATATAAGTACCCAATATGTGTATGATATGTGTATTATTTGTGTATGATTTTCTACATTTTGAGTACCTGATATATGTAAGATATGTGTAGGATATGTGTAGGATAGACCATTTTTTTACCAGTGACTTACATATAATAATATCCATTACTCTCACATACAAGATTTCTTATATTATCTGCAATTTTTTTTGCTGAACCACTAAAATCTTCAAGTGTAATAGTTTGGAAAAATGCTATTTCATGATCAAAATTTTTCACATACCCTTGCTGACCTACTGAATAAATCAACTCTTTTAACGCAATAGACATCTCTTTAGGACTATGTGTTTTTACATGGTTAACTGGGTCAAAGTTTTCTTTATTTTGCTGATAAAAAGATCTTTTTTCAGCTTGACATTGGCTACATTGTTTAAAAATCTTGCCATTTTTTTCTTGAAAGGAAGATAAATCTTTATTTATATTACAACGCGTACATACTTGTTCAACCATTTTAAATGTATAAACTAACGAAATACAAGTGTTAAATTGAAAATTTAACAAGTTTTATAATAAAAAAGTTTTTATTTAAAACTTGTATATTTAATAAAGACGTAAGGAGACGCAAAAAATGGAGACTAAAGTTGTAGTACAAAAAATATTAAAATAAAACCATCGTTCAAATACAGATCAACTATAAAAGATAAAATAAATATCAAAATCACGTGATTGATATTATGTGATATGTGACATCTGTGCAAAAATTGCCAGGACCCCGGATATCTAATATAAAGGTCATAATGGACTTTTGGCCAAAAACACCCCTTTTTGCTGAAACTCAAAAAATCGTTTTTTGTAAATATCTCAGCATCCAGTAATTCAATTTTAATGAACATTTTTTTATTTTGTAGCCCTCATTTAGCTCTACAATTTAAAAAAAAGTTCATCAAAATTGGACCACTGGATGCCAAGATATTTACAAAAAACGATTTTTTGAGCTCCTGAAAAATGGGCCAATCTGCCGAAAGTGTGACTTATGACCTGTTTTGGAGATATCCGGGGTCCTAAATTGCCGGTGTTGTTGGGGTAGTTGTGAAGACTCTTCTCACTTATCACCTGACGTTTTTTATATAGGCTAGTGGCTAGATTGGTTCAGATAAAAATGTTAGATTGGCTAGTCCTGATATTACATGGACTGCATCATTACACGTTGTCACCGATACCTGCCACATATCGGCAGACTAATCTCATACTTAGTTTAATATTATGCTTGGTTTAGATTTTATAATCTCTTAACTTCTCGCTCTCTTTCATTTATATCTCTTACATTCTCATAATTTCTCTTACAAACTGCAAGAGTTCCTTTTAACTTCTTATTACAATTCATATAATAATTAAACTGGGATAATTTCCCTTACTTTACTTCTCTGGATTTATAATATAATATTAATTAATTCTCAAGCGTACAATGAGCATATTCATATTTGAATAACTTTTAATAATTAATATTTTAATATTATTTTATTGAGCAAAAACTGACTGCAGAATTCTTAATGAATCCCACTTGTATTTATACATGTTAAGAAAATTATTTCTACTATCTACTATTCTTTTTCTATTAAAATTTTAAGAAAATAATAAGAAATAAAAGATGTATTATCATATGACTTTCTCGTGACTAAACTAAACTATAAATATTATTTATCGGTTAATTATTTACCCATCGGCTAAATAAGGACCCTGGACATCACATATATAACTCATAACTGATCTGCATAAATTTAAGTACTTTTTGCTCCTGCTAAATAGACCTAATTTGCTAAAAATCAAATTATCACATTTCAAATCTATACTAATTTGCTAAAACTCAAAATATGAGTTAATAATCTTTTTTTTTTATTATCAATAAAAAAATAAATGATTAATATAAATTAAACTGCCAATTTTTATAATTAAAATATGTAGATTATAGATAAAATAATAATTAATAAAAATAATAAATTAAATAAATAATTATTAAAAAATAAAATGTTGTGAAACTAAACGGACGGGGTTTAGCCCGCATTATGCTTAATTTTGGCCGGAATTATACTTAATTTTGGCCAAAATATGATCCGGACCCCGAAACCAATATTTTTAAAAATATTATTTATAAAGTTAAAAAAAAAAGGATAAGTTAAATTTAAAAAAAAGTACCAATTTGCTCAAATATAAAATATGACTTTGTAAAATCAATACAATTTGCTAAAACTCATAATTATGACTATTAATTAATTTTCAATCAATTTGCTCTATCTAAAATTATGAGTTTAATTTAAATGTTGATTAATTTTCTTTTCAAATTTCTGTCATCATTATGATCACACCAGTTTACTAAATTAGCTGCTATGGTGCGGCGCATCTATACTCATCAACAGTCCAAAAATTTATTTTAGGCCGATCTTTACCAAATTAAGTAATATTTTAGCCTTATTTGGTAACATCCCCATTGATCATTGCGTGATTTATTAAATTAGATTTACCTGATTGGCTCAAATCGTAATCACGTGGAAAATTGATTCCGAAATTTCACTATTTTACATAGACTTATATAAAAAAATACTCCAACTTAAAAAGCTAATAACTTTTAATCTATAAAAGTTAGAGGAAATTAAATCCGATAGAATGAAAGAGAATCCTTTAATCTATAATTGTATCAGTTTACTTTTTCAGTTTAACATAAAATTTTAATGAGTTATTGAAGTTTAAAAATACCCAATTTTCATTTGATGAGTATAGATGCACCGCACCATACTCTTTCTTTTTCTTCATTATACCATTGTAATGCGATTTCTCTTAAACAGGTTATTGCTATATTCGCTTTATTTTGTCTACATACACCTCCTCCAATATTTCCTTCTGGTTTTCCACTTACTGTAAATGCTACTTCAAACTGTCTAATCCAATCGTTAACATCTTCATCTTCTTTTCCACTAAAAGTTAGCATACCTACTATTCCTCCATTTCCTGCAGTTGCAATTCTATCTGCTATAGTTTGTCCTACTTCTAATGCATTATCTAATGCATTAGCTGTTAATCCTAAAGCATTTTCAAGTATTCTTCTTATTTGTGCTTCATTTGCCATATTTAATAATATATTCTCTTGAAATAAATCTTGTAAATTGTAATAAGATAATTCACTTTCTATATTTGAGTTTATATTTTCTGGATTTATAAATAAATCACTTGAATCTGATTCCTGACTCAAGTTAGAACCTCCTGTATTTATAACATTTTCGATTTCTTCTTCATTTATATTCTCAATATTTTCATTCCCTTCCTAATATATATTCTTCTAGACTTAATATTTCTCCAATCTTTTCTGATTCATCTGTATTATCTTCTTCTAATTCTTCATTATCACTCTTTTCACCACTTTCTTCACTATCCATTATTCCTGCCTGTTCTTTCAACAACTTATCTAACTTTTCTTCAGTTCTTTTTCTGACTCATTCTCATTTTCTCGAAAGATTTCAATAAATTCTTTATCTAAAATTTCTCCATCTGTATACCCCATACTAATTAATCTTAATAATTCTCCTTCAATCATTATTATTCCTATATCTTCAAATATTTTCTTCAATCTTTTTACTTGATCATCCATTTCATCGATATCTTCTTCCTTACAATCTTCACATATAGTTTCTCCTAATCTAAACATATTATTCATCCATCTTATTTCGCATTCTTCACACCAAGTTGTATTCTCGTTCAACTACTTATGAATTTCTTTTCTTACTTCTTTATTTTCCAAATCTATTATCTTCATATATTCTTTTATAAACTCTTTTGTTATCATTATTCGATTATTTACTCCAAAATCTTTTATTCTTCGAATTTCTGATACATTTATCTCATATCCCAATTTTTCTAACTCATCTTTTAATTTTGCTAACTCATCCTGTTCATCTTACATTCTTCACATTCACTATCCATTTTATCCATTTCGAATCTCCTATTACCGCATCTTTTACATATTACTATTTCTTTTTCTAACCATTCTTTTATCTTTAATTCTTTTTCTTCTTCATCCATTTCCTCTATCTCTTGGACTTTATCTATAAATATTTTTGTTACCAATATATCCATTTCTATCATCAACTTTATTCCTATCTTCCAAATGTATCTCAATTGATCTTCATCAATAGAACTTGTCCTTTTTTTTAATTCGCTAAATTTCCATGATTTATCTCCTATTATTATCTCTAATTTTTCCTCAGAACTGTTTTCCAATTCATAACTTGCTCATATAATAATTCTTTGAACTTTTCTATTGCTTCTACTTTTGCTTTTACAGCTAAGGTTACTTTTCTAAACCTCTTTAAAATCCTATGATTAGTTTTGTCAAAATTTTACTATAGATTTATTATAGTTTCGGCAGAGTTTCAGCAGTTTTAGCATTTATAATAAGTTTCGGTAATTTCGCTTTTCTCCAAAGTTTCACCAGGACCCCGGATATCTCCAAAACAGGTCATAAGTCACACTTTCAGCAGATTGGCCCATTTTTCAGGGGCTCAAAAAATCGTTTTTTGTAAATATTTCGGCATCCAGTGGTCCAATTTTGATGAACTTTTTTTTAAATTGTAGAGCTAAATGAGGGCTACAAAATAAAAAAAGTTCATTAAAATTGAATTACTGAATGCTGAGATATTTACAAAAAACGATTTTTTGAGTTTTAGCAAAAAGAGGTGTTTTTGGCCAAAAGTCCATTATGACCTTTATATTAGATATCCGGGGTCCTTTTTCACCAGTTTTTTAATATAACTTTAATATAGTTTTGGCAGAATTTCGCTTTTCGGCGAAACACCATCTTGCCTAAACCTCTAGGTTTCAGCAAACAACCTTATTTACAGCTCTAATTTCTCCTAATGCAACCCCATACCATTGCCAAAATTTTTCAAATCTTCTTTTGACATACCAATCTTCTAAAATGTATTTATGTTCTAGTAATTCAGGATTTCCGATTAATCTGTCAAATACTTCATTCTCTAGATTTCTTTCAATACAATTCCTTACAATTACTAATATAATCGTTCGTAATCCTTTTTCTTTCATTTTTGGTTGTATTCTATATCTTATCGATTCTGTTATTCTATCCATTATGTCTCTACATCTTCCTTTATATATTGTATCTTCCCTTTCTGAATTATCCATGCTTAATAAACTTAATACTCCTTTGATTGTTACATCATTATATATTATTATCGCATCTTCAAATTTGAATAGTGCATCCCAAAATTTCTTGAACACAATTGGTTCATTTACTATTAGATAACATAATTTACAACTTAAACATTCATCTAATTCCTCTGTTCTTAGCTCATGTTTCTTTTTATGTGTCCTGTACTCACTCTCTCATTGATGATACCATTCCATTTTATATTATTTTATTTTCTCGCAAAATTGATTTTATTTTGTATTCTCAGTTTATTTATATTTTATTCGTATAGTAATTATTCATTTATTATTTCAATCTTTATTTCTTCATATTTTCATGTACATAACTTCTTATTACATTTCTTTTATTACATCTTTTTATTATATAATATTCTATTACTTATAACTTAATATTCTTTAACTTCACTAATTCTCAATTAGTTTAACATCTTTCTGGATAACTATTTGTCCCCTAGTTCTTTTATTTATTATCTGAATATTTCTCAATCAACCTATATTTCAATCTTAACTTTTTAATTTCATTCTTTTTCAAATCTGCAATACATAATCCTCATCAGGAACTACCTTTTCTCCACCATAGTTATGGATTAACTGATCTTGTATTTCCTCATCCTTTTCATCCTCCTCATCCTCAATAATATCAATTGTTTTATCACTTTCATAACCGTAGTGATAAACATCATCTTCTGTTACTTCACCATCATTATCATCAATATTATCTTTATTGTGATCTATATCAACGACTTGTACCTGAAATTTATGATTGTTTGGCAATTCTAATAATATGCTAGATTCATCGATAATTGCTTTTTTATAACCACATTCTTTTAAAAATCTTTGTGTCTTTAGTATTGACGACAATAATTCTATTATATATACAATAAATTATTTAATTATTTACTATATATAATAAATAAATTAATAAATGCAATAAAAATACTTTTATACCTGCTTTATTATTATTTCCTTTTTCTGCTACGAATGTAGAAATATCAGATGTCGCTGCTGTATTTGTTCCTGCAAGTGAAGAATCAGACATTTTTGATGGAATGAAAAAAGCAGTATATAAGAAAATAATAAGCGATAGCGATAATATAAAATAATTTTTTGGAATTAATATGATGAAATAAAAAAGGCAGTATATAAGAAAATAATAAGTGATAGTGATAATATAAAATAATTTTTTGAAATTAGTATGAAAGAAAGGAAAAATGCTGGATGATGAGATAAGGGAAGATAGGCTATTTATATTCAATTTGAGATGACGCGAATCAACATTTAGAAAATAAAAACAGAAAATAAAAACAAAGGAAATTAGAAAATAAAAACAAAGAAAATTTAGAAAATAAAACAAAGGAGATAGATATTAGCATTATTGTTTAAAATTTTGTTCTTCCGTTATTATTAAAAATTAATATATTACAACGTATTGTTTATTCCGTTATTATTAAAAATTATATTACAACGTAAAATTAAGAATTCTATTGAGTTTCTTTATTATTGTTCAAAATCTACCGTTTTATTCACATTTCTATTTATATATATCCATATTCAGACTCAGATTCAGATTCTGAGGAGGTCAGTAATTTTTTTTACGGATCAAGGTTGTTTAAATATTAAAAAAAAACTAATGTAATAAAATAACTGATCTCCCACTATAGCAAAAAATTTGCTGATCCATATATTTATTGCTGACTAATTATTTTTTGAAAATTTCAAAGTTTACACGGGGTGTTTGAACCCGTATTGTAAATCACGTGATACCGATAAAAAATTTTACACAGGGGTTTGAACCCGTATTGTTAATCAATAAAGAAATTTCAAATTTTATACAAGGGTTTAAACCCGTATTGTCAAATTATGTATTATTTATTTTCTGCTACACGATTGTTACATTTTTATTATGGTTGTATCGATCGCTTTATTCTTTTGTTTATACATCATTTTTCTTCTCCCTTCATTATAAAATGTCTAATAACACCCATGATAATGCTCTATATGATAACACCTATGATAATATTCCATATGATAACACCCATGGTTATATCTCATATGATAATACCTGCGAAAATACCCGTGAAAATTTTCTTTATGATGAAATTCTACTTTATTATGACATCCACAAAAATCTACCTTATGACACTTACGAAAACTTACTTTATTATGACATCTGCAAAAATCTACCTTATGACACCTACAAAAATCTACCTTATGACACCTACAAAAATCTATTTTACTATGATACCTGTGAAAAACTACTTTATGACACCTTTTCAACTCAAACCCACGAAAATTTTCCTCATGATGTTATCCATGAAAATCTACCTTATGATGATACCCGCGAAAACCTATCTGATGAGGACACCCGCGAAAACCTATCTGATGATAACACCCGCGAAAACCTATCTGATGATGACACCCGCGAAAACCTATCTGATGATGACACCCGCGAAAACCTATCTAATGATGATGATACTCGCGAAAACCTATCTGATGATGACACCTTCGAAAACCTATTTGATAATGACACCCGTGAAAACCTATCTAATGATGATGACACCCACGAAAACCTATCTGATTATGACACCCGCAAAAATCTACCTTGCGATAACACCACGAAAACTTACCCAATTATGACATCCACGAAAATTATGCCACTCGCGAAAATTTTCCTTATGATGATGCCATCTGTAATACTCTATCTTATGATAACCAAAATGTTGATATTTCAGCTTCTTTGCATCAAGTAATACATTTTTTCTTCCTTATATATTAAAATTTCATCCTCTAAGCATTTTAATCATTGGTGTTTCTAATATTTTTAAATAGGGTTATGAAACAAGTGATAATGATGATGATGAGTCCACAGATTCTTTGGAATTGATATCTGGACTAACCTTTGACAGCTGGGACAAATTTAAGAGTTGGATTGAAAGGTTCACTTTAAAAGAGGGTTTTAACTACAAAATCAGAACAAGTGAGAAAGTTGAAGGTGTAGTGCGAAGGGCTGCTTATGAATGTGCCAAATTAGGTTCACATACTTCTCAAGTAACTTCTGATCTAACTAAAAGACGTAATGCTAATTCTTCAAGAACCTCATGCCCCTAGAAACTAAATGTTACCTGAAAACAAGTGGTGTTGTAAAGATCAACTCTTTTAATAATGAACATAATCACCCACTTACTTCAATGATTCGTGAAATAGCACCACGATTTCGTAAATTAACACCTAAGATGCTAGTAGATATTAAAAAGTATGTGATTCAAGGTCGAATAGACTCATCATCTATCTATCCTTTACTTAAACATGATTATCCAGATCAACTTATATATAAAAAGGATTTGTACAATGCGGTCTATCAATTTCGTCAAAAAAACAATCCAGGAGATATAGATGCCTCCCAGATGCTTGAACTATTAATGAAATGGAAAGATGCTGAACCTCTTTGGATTGTAAAACTTCGGTTAGATTCTGTTTCAAGAAAATTAAACTCCCTCTTATGGATGTCTCCTATCCAAAGAGAATTATATAGCAAATACAATGATGTTACAATTATTGATACTACTTACAACACTAACCGATTTCAGATGATGCTTTGCATCATATCTGTAGTTGATAATAACTACAAGTCACGAATTATTGCATCTGCTATAATTGATGATGAAACATTAGATACTTATCGATGGTTATTTGATACTATACTTACTGAAACGGGTATTTCACCTGGAGTTATTTTTACTGATTCAGATCCTTCTATGATTCGAGCAATTAAAGAAATTTATCCCAATACCCACCATATGTTGTGTATTTTTCATATTGATTTGAACCTTCGGAAAAAGCTCAAAGGTAAATTAGGTAATAAGTTTGAGGAATTTCGTCATAAGTTCTATACATGCAGGAATTCTCTTTGTGAAGACCTATTTGAATTTCGGTGGAATCAATTAATCAATCAATACCCAGCATCAGCAAAGTATTTATCTGATACACTTTATGTTAATAAAAAATCGTGGGCGATACCTTGGATACATAAAAGATTTACTACTGGAGCACAAAGTACACAGAGAATTGAGTCAATCAACAAGCATATACATGATAAAGTTGATTGAGCCACTTCACTATGCGATCTACTACATAATATCAAAGATCATGTTAAAAATGAAGAATATCTTGAAAATTTTGAACTTAAACGAAATGCCATACCTACAATTGGTATGCCAATGCTAAATACAAGATTCTTTGGTCCTATAGACAATATCATAAAGGTCTTTTTAACACCTGTAATGCTTGGAAAACAAAGATCACAAATGAATCAATCTGTATGTTATGATATTAATCAAATTACAGAATGGAAAAACTTGATGGATGTAAGTTGGAGTTTGGGTTTTGTTAGTATTGAATTATACAATCTTAAACTAACAATTTCTCATAGGCAGAGAATGATAATGAGGGAATAAGTAATGGAATCAGGGAACAGGAACAGGATATATGGCAAATTCTTTTCCAATCGTTAATTAAAAACATACCACCAGAAGCAATCCTAGAAGTATGGTTTGTCTGAGCAACTGGAACTCAAGGAATTGGCCATTATGTGGTTCTGCTTGATGATGGAACGCATTTATGTACCTGCCTTCTCTTAATTAATAAAGGATTAGTGTGCCGGCACTTTTTTCACGTTGGTACCTATTCTCAACATGCAACATTTCATATTAGCATTATTCCAAACTGATGGTACCTAGATCAATCAAATGATCTTTCACAATATCCTCCCATTCCGGTATGTGGTACACAAATAGATAATAGAATAGAGATGGAAAAAAGTATTACCTTTCAACACTTTTTTTCATTTCGCGTTGATTCACATGGTTCCCATTCAGCTATAAACTCAACTAAAGCTATTTATGTTGAGTTGTCTAGATTATCAAAGAAGGCTACTGATTGTGCAATTAAGTCCAATATGCAACATGAGTTGGTGAATCTACTCAAAGCTTTTATCTATGACGTGCATAATAAAAATGTTCAAGAAACTCAAGAAACTTAAGAAACAGAAACCTTCACTGATATTAATAATCCCACTATTACAAAGCATAAAGGACGACCTCCAAAAAGGCTTAAATCAAGTGTAGAAACTTCAGGAAAACGCGTATTGAAGGATAGCACAAATGTTAATATAACAGAAAATGAAACAAAAGGGCGAAAATGTGGGAAGTGTAAACAACATGGTCATTATGCAAAGACATGTCATAATAGCTGTTAATATTAATTTTTGATGCTTATAGTATGTATGCGCATTTATTTTTGATTTTTATAGCATAGATGCGCATCAATTTTTACACAAATTTTATAATAAAAAAATTTTTTACGCATTTAATCACATGAAAAAGATAATCACGTGATGCGTGTTCAGACACCTCGTGTACAAATAGAAATCGCCTTATTTTTTTTAATTTATTACAATTTTAGACTATAAATAGTATTAAGTATCAAATAGTATTAAGTATCCATTATAAATAAATACTTTATTATATTTAATAAATCATATAAATAAATCATATAATTTAATAAATTATATAAATAAATAATTGTAAAAAATATAGCTTTAAACAGTCTAGCACGATAAAGTTGCCGCATATAAACCTAATCTAGTTATTAAATACTAAGTTTTTTCTGTAAGTTCTTTCTGTTTTTGTCATTTTTGTACAAAATTCTATTTATAGTAGTAGTGTGAAGTTCTCCTATAATTATTAGTTACAATATAATTCTATTTGCCATTATTATTATGTATTATGAAACTCTCTTTCTGTCATATTGTTATGATTTTGATTACAGAATTCTGTCTGACACAGACTGTCAATCATCTTCTTGAACATCATTCATTCTGAATGTCACAATTACAGCTTAAATTTAAAGTTCAAAGTCCGAATAATCAAATATTAAGGAAATTCTTGCAAATTTTCTTAAATTAAATAGTAGATCGGACTTTAAACATTAAAAAATAAGCAGTATTAAGAAAAATTCTTGCGAATTTTTCTTAAATTAAGC